TCCAGATTAATTTTCAAGAGGTAGTGTTTCAGAAATACATAGGTTAGATCCCCAATTCTCATTAAGATTCAGTAAAGGCTTGGGTGCCTAACAGTCCTTTTATATATTTGAATATATCCAGTCAATCAACTGCCAGTCTGTAATATTTATTCTTTTTTGCTGTTTATATATCAATACATAGGCTAAGGAGAGATGTATATCCTCTGGGTTGCTGTAGGTCATTAGAAAGCAGCAATACAGATGGAGACCTACCTTTGATAGTGAATAGACAATTAGACACAAGCATGCCATGTAACATGGATGTGAAAAGGTACAGCACACACAAAGGCTTTGAGTCAAAGAAGAGTTAAAGAATGCCTCATTATCTGATTTAATTGTGACTGATTAAGAGTAAGTAGTGATGTTATAGCCATGATGGTCCAGAAAATATGTAAGAGGCAAGAATTTCTTAGGGTGATAGCTTTTATTGGACCAACTGTGGAGTTTGGGATAAAGTTAGACAAGCTTCTAATATAAGAATGTCCAATAAAAGCTGTCACCTTAAGAAATGTTTGCCTCTTATATAAATATTTTATTTAGTTTATTACTAAGGATCATCATTTCTGAAAGATACTTTAACAGAGTGAAAGTAAAAGAAGAGAAATTTTAAAATTCACTTACAAGAAAACTTTAAAATATGTATAAATCTGTAAAGCAGGAATAAAAGGGAACTAAAAAAAGGTATATCATAGAATCATAGAAAATTAGAGTAAGGAAGGACTACAGGAGGTCATCTAGTCCAGTCCCCTGCTCAAAGCAGGACCATCCCCAAATATATCATCCCATCCAAGGTTTGGCTTCCTGGGTTTAAAAACCTCTAAGGATGGAGGTTCCACAATCTATCTGGGTAGCCTGTTCCAGCGCTTTACTACCCTCCTCATGAGAGTTTTTCCATTACAACCTAAACTTCCTCTGCTGTATTCACAGTATTCCAGATGTGGCCTGTCAAGTGCCAAATAGAGGAGAATAATCACTTCCCTCGATCTGCTGGCAACACTCCTACTAATGCAGCTCAGTATGCTGTTAACCTTTGCAAGAAAGGCAAACCGTTGGCTCATATCACATTACAAATGTTTGAAGGAATACCCATATAAAGAGTTCATAATGTCAATAATGATTGTTCAATTAAGAAAAAAGCCAGAAGCTCAAGAAGTCTTTAAAGGACATTGTGAGGATGCAGGCCTGCAGATTAGGGCTGTGCGATTAGGGAAGTATTCAATTTGGATTCGGCCAATTCGGAGGACAGTTATTCGATTCAGCCGATTTGGCTTCGGAAGATTCAGCACTGATTCAGAGAGATTCGGTGATTCGGACCAGCCAGGGAAAGGCAGGCATAGCTGGGCAGCTACAGCTTCTCCTGTGTCTCCTCCAGCTGTTTTCTTTTCTCTCCCTGGGCAGGGGGAGCCAAGGGAGAAGCCTCCATGGCTGCGCTCCCTGGCCCCAGCCCAGTCCCGGCACTTAAAAAAATTAAATAAAAGCCCCACACTCACTGCCTGCAGCAGAAGCAAATGGGGCCTCTGGGTAATGGTGGCAGCACGGGGCAGTGGAGGGCAGCTGGGATTGTGCCCTCCACCTGGCACCCTCACGGCAGCTGCCCCGCGGTGCAGCTCGGCAGGGCTCTGTGTGCTGTCTGGGAGCTGGGGTTGCTGGGGCTGAGCACTGCCGGGCTATAGCTGCCACGTGGAGCCGCCCCAGCTCCCATTCAAATCAAACTGGGGCCTGGGGAATTGAACCGGGTTGCATTGTTGCATCAGCTACAGTTTGTTCCCATTCTCTTTTTTGGGATGAATTCCACAGCCTGACTACATTTCCTAAGATTCAGTATCTTCCCTCTTCTACAGGGAGAACATGTCGCATTTAAAGAAGTGTAGTCTGTCTAGGAAGCCCCCTTAGGTGCAGGAGAGGTCCAATTAAAGTCTCACAAAGCATTTAAGTGTTTTGGTCCTAATATTTTTACAATTATTTATATAAAATATTTCCATCAAAAAAAGTTTCCAATTTCTGAACAGCTGTAGAGGAAAGGAAGCATCTTGAATTTTCTGTGTTGTTTTGCTTCCAAATTACAGTCATTCCCCAGCCACTTGCCTGATTCCAGAGAGTGAAGAAGGTTCTTGGTTCTTGTTTCTCTATGCAGGAAGAGATGCAGAAGGAAATACGCTCCTTGATCCAGAACTGAGAAACAGCAGTAGCTTTGCTGCCTAGTTAGCGATGACGAGCATCCCTGTACAAGGCTTTGGAAAGAGTGTTTATATGAGTTCTGTCCAGATGACATTATGCTAGTGTGTAAGCCTAAATGGAACTGTTGTCAAATTATTGACTCTGATTGCTTAAAAAGTGGATTTGTATTACAAAATCAAACAGCTGAAGACATGGAAGCTGTTTTGCCACTCTCTTCTCTAAATTCAGTAATAGCAGTAGGGGCTTGCAAAAAAAGTGCTGCATAGAACTGTTTTGCAAGGAATTGTTTATGTATCACAAAGAGGAATGGCATGGATTATTAATATTGGGACAGAAGACTAACTTTTGGAGTGTGTTTTGGGAGGCCACTATTTCCACTTTAACTTTGCATTAACATTATTTGTTTACAGTCACTACATAGACAAACACCAGGACAATGAATTTGTATATACATGTAGAAAGTCATATCAATTTCCCTTTTATTTTTCCTTTTTTGGCTAAGACTCTAAAATGACTGGAGATGACTTGAGATTACTGTTGGATTACTGATATCATTAAGCCCTACTGATTCTCCTACTGACCTTATTGGCAGTACTTAAACTATTCAAATTAAAGACTAAGGTTGTAATAATACTATCCAATGATAAATACAACAGTGTTCTCACAAAGACATATTTTAAGCATACTTTCAAGAGTATTTGGTAGTTAAAGTAGACAAGAACATTTAATACTAGAAGTAATCTAAACCAGTCACTGCACGTATGTGATCAGCATAATTCATTTTCTTTATTACAGCCTAAATAATGATTTTTTGGCATATGTAGACATACTAAACATACATTGACCATGAGATTTTTAAACTTTTCCTATAACAATTCCTTTCACTTCATGACAGTCCAAAATCCAAAGATCCAAAATAAAAGGTAAATGCCAAACTCAGTAAGCCCCATTATTCTGTTTAAAATTGTTCATTGTAAAATAATTAATTGAACCTACCTACTGTATGAACTTTGCAGAAGTTTAATTTTAACAGCTACACAACAGATAGTGTTTGAAAAAAAAACCTTGTAACAAATTTAATCTGTCTATAATAGTAGAATGCCCATTTTATGAGGCCACATTTATTCTTATAATTGGCTATTTCCTGTCTTTAAATGCATATTTATTCATGTCTGCCACCTTTTTCTCAGTTTATTGGCCCTGTGGTCACCACGTTATCTTTCTCTTCAAAATCAATTGACATTTTTATGAAAAGAGTTTGCGAGATGTTTAGCTCAGTGAGAGTGGCATATAGAACATGTGCCTGTCACATCAAATAATCCCTGTTAAAACTACAGAATGCAGTGGTTAAACTATCAGTAAAATACACCAATTGTTTCCTCTGGATTTTATTTGAATTTTTTTTATTTTTTTTATTCATTATCTCAAAACCTTAAGAGAAAAAAGTTAGTGGATATAAATAGTACAAGTAATTTTTTTTTCACTACTGTCCAGTGTAATCTTGCATCTCCTATAATTGAAGCCAGGGTAGAGATTCACCTTGTAGACTGACTAAATCAGAGAAGCATAAGATTTTGTGAGCCTAAGCTCACTTCATCAGGTGCATTAAAGCTTATGCATTTTTTTTCCATGCCTTCTGCTTGACTTCAGTCTAACTCCATCCTCCTTACCTATCTCCTTCAATATACATTCTGAAAACATACAGAAATTCCCAGCTATAATGTTAGAATGATTTAACTTCTGAATATACATTACAATATTAAAAATACTAAACAGTTTTCTCAACCAGTCTCATGGAATACAATGTAGAATATTTGTTAACTATATGATATTCCCTTTTGGTTCTTGATTAAGCTCAACCCATGGCAGCAGTAGAGCACAATTCTTTCACTATGCCCCTTTAGCTTCTCGGGCTGAAACATACTTCTCCTCTGTCCCTACATGTACAGACATTATTGCTGCCCTGCACACATAGGGACAACTCATTCCATTTGCTCATGGCAGGAAATATGGGCTGTGTGGTCTCTCTGCCCCTTCTACCTAGATCCACTTTAAGAGCTGTTGTGAGGTTACATGGGTCAGTGGTAGCCACCCTTTTCTGGCTGTGGACTAAAATGTCCCATCCCACATCAGAGGCAGGCAAATGGGTAGGTGCTACTGCCACTTGTTCCCACAGGGAGAATGCCACCCATACCCTCCCACCATTGAAGCCCCACATCTGCAGGTCAGAACCCATGGTTCTGTGGGTCAGATTTGGTCCTAAGGCTGTAGTTTGCTGATCTCTGATGCAAGTAATGCTCCATTTCCCTTAGTTTCATGGCCAGTGATGTTAGCTCCCACCACAATCAGTCCCTTAAACAGTGCATAAATAGTGGAGAGGAATGAGTACTAGTCTTAGTGTGTTGAGATTCACAGTTTTGGGAAAGATTCACTTTATACTTGTGTCTTATGTTGATTTAAGAGAGAGACTTAAACAACACAGGATAGATACAAGTCTAGATTTCTGATTGCTTACTTTGGTGGTGGTTAGATCAAGGGCCTGGTTCATATGCATCTCCATTGTATGTATTTAAAAAAACCCATGTAGTTCTTGTGCATTATAATGATTTGAAGCTAAAAGCAGGCAAGAGATATGGATAAAACTGAAGATAAATCCTCCTACAGACAAGGAAGGAATTTCAACTGATTTATTTTTTCGCATAGTTGAGTGCAGGTCAGCTCCTGCTGCCCTTGTTTGATCTTACAAAGAAAGCCAAATGCTGATTCAAAACGTTTGTTTCTAGGTGCCAGGTTGACCTGTCGGCCCTGAGTAAAGAACAAACTCACAAGCTGGAGTTGCAGCTGGAGGAAGGAGAAGGATGCCTGGTATTGCTGGTCACCCTGACAGCCTCAGCTGCAGTCAGTATCTCTGACCTCTCTGTCAACTCCTTGGAGGACCAGAAAGAGCGAGAAGAAATACTGAAGAGATATGTATGTAGTATCCATAACTTTCCATTTTTAATGTAGTATTATAAAGAAATAATGAATAAGTGTTAAACATTCTGAATTGATCTATTACCCACTAGTAACAAAGATTTAACTAAGCTCTTAATATTGTAGTAACTGACTTAAAGAGTTTGATTATATCCACAGAGCCCCAAATCCTATTTTTGCATAAACTGTTGTGTCAGTAATTATTCAGCTATTTTACTTGACTGTGGCATTATGTAATTTTGATTATTTCGGTGTTTTCCAAGTGTAGCATAATCTAAGATATTATTAGCAACTTTAGAGTGTTCTAGTAAATATTCTTTTCAGCTCCTTGGGGTGTGGAGAGTTTTGCAATTGTTAGCATATTAGAGTGAAAGAAGCCTTTCTATTTTTTGACTGAGTACTAGAGTCTGGAGCAGTGGTTTGGGTCATTAAAATAACTATATTAAACTATATTTCCATTTCAGAATATTCTGAAACAAATTATTTTATTTCCCAGCATCCTCACATTACACAGAATCTGTGTAGTTTTATCAAAGCAACAGAGAGGGGAGCTCTTACTCCAGCATTTATTAATACTCAAATCACTAAAAGTAACTGTCTCACTATACATAAAGAAAAAGGAGAGAAAAAAAACCCCTATTTCCACTTAAAATTACAAAGCTTTTATTGTACAATGCTGCCAGGTGTTTAGAAGGCTTCTCTAGACACTCAGCCATTAAACCAAGCTCTGACTAACAAAGAGCCGCTTAATTTTTTTTAGATTTTAAAATATTCCTATTCCCTGACTGACATCCTTTCAATAACTGAATTTAATAAAGATGTACCTTATCAGGCTGTGCAGATAACATGAAGTGCTAGTACTAATGCTGTACAATATTCTTCAAACAGATTAGCAGGATGTGCGCTTCAGCAAATTTATTCTGGCTATCTCCACCAAATCAGCTGTCTGCTAATGCTTGTACAACTCATACACCAATAGTGTTATCATAAACTCAGTTTAATAGAGGTGACTTAGTGAGGCTAAACATTATATTTTCTAACCAACTGAGAGCTAAGGTATTGTGTACCACCTTTGAAAAATAATTACAATTATGAGAATTATTTCAGATTTTGATATCCAGCAAGGCAGAGTCTGTTGTTGTCAGAATAGATCTTTATAAATATAGTACATTTCTGATGGATCTATTTTCTATAATGACATACATTTTGATATTGAGTGTAACAATACCATATTTTTGTGGATAATTGTGATAACATGTGGCTGTTAAGTGATATTGATAGTTTTGATAGTTTAGCGACAACATAGGGAAATACGATTGCTTCATGTGTAAGTTTAGCTTTCTTCAATTCTCTACTTTTGCTTTAAAAGTTGAATGTATAACATAATTTATATAGTATGAGAATGATCAAATGATTTCTTATTCTCATATATCCATATACATAAACATCATTTTTCAAAATTTAAATATATCTTCAATATACACATACTGCAGCATTCGAAACTTAAGAAAACACATAACCGTTGTTTGAGGGATGTTTCTAATTTGCTACTTGACAGAAACATAAGTTTACATTTACATATATTCCAGAACTTAATATTGAATACCTTTGGAGAAATTGCCATATTTTGTTCGCTAAAGTGACCCATAGGTAGCAGCAGAACAAATATGTACAGAATCCAGATTGTTTCTTCTCATTGCTGAATGATTTATCTTTATACTGTCAGGCATATACAAATAACTAATATGCAGTTAGCAAGATGCACTTACAGCATTTGGAAGATTTATTTATTTTTTTTACTTCTTAAAGGCAAACAACATTTGAGAAATGCATTTTGCACCCGTTCTTGTGGCCACAAACAGTTAATGAGCTGACCCTGCCATCAGATCAAATAGCCTTTGAAAATGACTCTATTACTGTCATTTAACCATTTGTAGCTGAACATGAGAGCCCTACAAATTAAACAGACATTACTGTTTGAACCATTATTTTACCACAATTGTCTGAAAAGATTAATTCCTTTTGGGGTGGGGAGGAGGAGGGCAGTAATGGGTACAGACCAAGAGAGATTGTATGACCTTTTCAGAACGGGTGTGCTGAACCCATGGTCCCCCTTGTCACAGTTTAAAAACCAGAGGAGCTAGTTTAGAGAAGAAGTTGTTAGCATTCCATTTTTATTATGACATTTCACAGTCATCCGATTTAATGTCCCTTGACCGGATTGTCCACCGTGAGACGATGGGCTTGAAATGTTATTTAGAGCATTGATAAAAGGTGAGCGGTTCTAGGATGACAGCAAGTCATAAGGCTGGTGGTGTGACATTAATTTTCTCCATAACAGAGATGGAATAAGACGTCACGGTGACAAGCTGTCAATCAGTACTGGCCCCTCAGTGTATCTCAATGCCATAGGATGGGGTATTGCTTCTCCCATAATAGAGCTGAACTGAGATGCTCTCCCTGACAGCTGCTGCAGCCATACAGAAAATATATTATACAGCCTTTCATTAAAAAAATAAAGAGGACTCATCTCCAGAGCATTTCAATCTTTTCCCATCTATTGAGGGCTGAAAGGATTCACAGCAAATCATAGATTCCTCTGCTATGGAAATTTCAGACTTTAGAAGCTATCGAGGTTTTGAGGCCTTCAACAATAATCATAAATAAGAAGACAGAATATCATCTGATAAATCGTTACATAATGTTACATATTTAAACTATGAAAAGAAAATGACTTTATTACATTAGAGTCCCTACAATAATATCGCACAGTATGTCACTAGCCCAGGCTGTCAGAATGTACAATAAATGAGTCTAAATCAGCTGACTTGCCAAAACTAAAAGTTCAAATGATAATTATCCCAGAGAGTCTGAGAAAGGGTATCAAGAGTGAAATACAGCAATGCTGCCTTTTAGCAGAATGTATTTACCAGTGTGATTTTTAAACTTTGGCTTGGTCTCCCCCACTCCCAGCTTGCTATTTGTTTCAGCCACTTGGAAACTTTTGTTAAATAACTACAAAAATTGAGGTGCAAAAACCTTCTGGTAAATCTCTTCACCTTTTGCACTACATTAGAACAAGAAACGTATCTGTATTTTGGTGCCAGCTCTGATAAGAAGCTTCCAAAATTAAACTTGATCAGTATTGTAATAAATGACAGACTTCTAACAAACGTTTGAATTATAACATTGCTATCGGTAACACCACTTCCACCACTCTTGGTTTGCAAGCACATAAATAGAGTGAAGTATGTTTTGATTCAACTTTATCTGCTTATTTTAAACAGATTTCTGATGATAAACAAGTGTGAATACTGATTAAAACAATCTCTGTGATAAACACTATATATATATATACATATATCTCTATCTGTGTGTGTGTGTGTGTGTGTGTGTGTATATATAAAGCCTATGAGATTACATATAACTGCATTTCCTCAGCTCAGTATACCAAGGTCAACCATCCGCTGTGAACAATAATCAGTCAGAGGGGACTTATAAAATTAATATCATAGTGTGATTTGACTGTCAGAATTCTCTTGTTAATAAAAAGGCAGGGATGTGCTTTAATGTTTGTTAGGCATAAATATATTACATTTTTCAAACAAGCTAACATTTAGGATTGCACTGAAGTGGCACCTTCAAGATTACTTCAGAACAGTAATCTTAGTTTACGGACTTAAAGCTCCCTAACAGTTTTCCCTTATGACATATTTCAGAATCACCCACCTAGTGTCTTTCTTGCTGCTTGCATGATTTAAAATCTCAGACTTTGTTATGAACAGTACAGGCTGTTTCACTTGCTCCATATTAAAGCAGTAAAATAAGGCCCTAGCTTTAAAACTTATTGGCCTTGATTTAAAAAAATAGCTTCAATGGATTTGTTTGTAGGAAACTGTTGATGAAAGTAATAATGTGCACAAGTGCTACGTTTTAGGAACAAGACTTATAGCCACATACATCTCTAAATATGGACTTTAGAATTTTATTTTAATTGACCATCTTTTGAGTTCCTGACTCAGATTATCTGATGTCTAAAATATAGCTTTGGTACGTACAGTTAATATATTGTGGGCTTAAAATTGATCTGCAGAATTGGCAGTATGATTCAGGCCTTATAGAAACATTTCAGCTTCTTGGGCTCAATTACTACAATACCAGTCTCCTGCGTCTGGTCACTTGAAAACATAGCTATCAGTGTTTCAAAATAGTTTTCTAAAAGGTTTTCACAAATGTTGCATATCATGAATAAATGTGAACTACTCTTTTCCAGTGTTGATAAATCTAAATGATATATAAGCCTTGCTGGCAAGGAAGGAAAGATCTGTTATGAGAGTTCCAGCAATACATAACCATCTTTTTGGTCTTTGATTTGTGTGTCACTCCTGTTAAAGTCAGATGACTAAACTTGTTTCTGACAAGAAGAATATTGGCCCTTAATCACAAACAAAACTCTTTTGGGGAGCTATAACAAGGGAAATTAAATATGGTTTTTAAGTGCAAAAGTATTTAGCAAGAGGAAATAGTATAAACATTTTTATTCAGTTGTATATGTTGTTATGCTAATTAATGTACCAACATTAAAATCTTGCTGTCAGTAGTTCACTTTTAATATTAGAAGTATAATAAAGTTGAATTAAATTTTTAAATTTGTTTTACCTTTATATATTTTTTCATTTAATCTCCAGTTTATAAATTGGAGATAGATATGCTTTGAAACTGATAGGTACCGTTAACATTACATTCCTAAAAAAACCCCTAATTAAAAAGGCAATCACGTGTACTAAATGATATTTGGAATGGAGGGGAGGGAGAAGAATTATACAAGCTATAATATTTATGTTTAGTATTATTATTATTATTATTTAGAGCCCAATGAGGATGTTTCATAATCTGAAGGATGTGGGATTTCTACAAGTGAAGGTCATCAGAGCAGAAGCATTGATGGCAGCTGATGTTACAGGCAAGGACTCATTATGTTTCTGTGATACTCTAATAAAAAAGTGGATCATTTGACAAATGGGACAGTTTCAGCAAAATATGAAGCTTAAGAACGGTAAAGTGTCAGAACTCTTTAGCTCATTTGCAGACAACATATCTCTTAGCAAAAAACAAAACTTTTATGTGGACCATGAGTTGTAATGCCAGCAAACAGAATCCTACAGTTTCTATGGGAAAGGAGAAATACACCTTTTTCACCATCAGAGGTCCTGCAAAGACATTTTATGTGGTAGATGTGCAGGACTTTATTCTCTAATGGGTACAAATATATGAAAATCTCATAATCAAAATGAATTGAAGGTAAATATTGTTTACAAGACAAAGCAGACAGTTAATTCAAAATACGATAGGCTCAGATAATACATTAAATCTGTCAGGAACTAACCTTCTGGAATTTACCAAGGAGCTTGACAGACTGGTTCTAGTTTAATATTAAAATACTAGTAATAATAATCAGATCTTCCTAAGGAACACAAAGTTTCCTGCAACCAATGCTACTTCAGTGGCTAATTGTAAAGACTGATAAGTAAATAATTTAGAGTAATTATTTAGTAATGTTTTGTTCTTTGTCTGTATAATTAGCTAAATTGATACAGTTGTATTTTGCTTATTGAAAACTATTTAAGAAAAAAAATGTTGAAACTATACCAATATTTTTTCTTCAAAAATAACTAAGTTCTCTCTTAAAAGTACAATGAGCGTCATGCTCCACAAGCTAAGGGGAATAAGAAGAGATTGTTCACTTTCATAAAGTACCTATCATTACTATAAAATTCATGAATATTTGGTTTAGCTGCCACCAAAGAAGTTAAAGTACAAGTTCTATTACAGGAATAAATGTAGGCATGATCGGATATGTCTCCTGTAATGCTTCTGTATAAACTAATATGATATAAATATTTTTTTTCTTTAGAGATGTAACAGGGCAAAAAAAATGCTGAAACTGATCATCCAGTTTGTGAAATACAAAATAACAGATTCTTTTTTTGGAGGAGGTTGGAGAAACACTTCTTAAGATTCTTCGCTCTGCTTTGACCTTATAATCCAATGTGGTCTGAACAGAGAGAGAGAGATTAAGTTATTCAGGGGCAATGGGATGATTCAGTCTCTGACCTGGTTCAGTCTTTGACTTTTCTTGATCCTCATGTCATTTCTGCACAAGATTTTGGAAATGCATTTGATTCAATTAAAGATGTACAGAACTACTGAAACTATTTTAAGACACTGTACATTTTGAGTGACTGTCAGTTATCAATGGGAATAAACACCTGCTATATTGCCATCCTAGGTGCTCTAAATATTTTGTCTGTCCACCAGGAATAGCTAGAACAATGATTTGTACTAAAAAAGTATTTTTAAAGAAGGCTGTGTATTTCAGAGATTATACAAATTATTGGACCACTAAGAAGAAAATGTTTGCTATAATGTTGAAAAAAAGGGAAATGATTTATTAAGTGCTGTGACATGTATCTATTTTTGTAGGGACCTTTAGAACCACTTGAGTGGCCTGCCTTCAGATTACAATTTGAATTTGAATAGATGTTTAGAAATAACTGTTAATGAAAGGACTTATTTGTTGATTGATTGTTTTTTGATTCTTCATATTATGATCAAGCCTCTTCTGTCATAATAAAGTGTTTGTAGATGCTATGTAGGACCTGCTCCTCCCACCCTTACTCAAGTGAGTAATCCTTATTTATGGGAGGAGACCAACTGATATCAACAATATTATATGTGATTAAGATTTGCTTATGTGAATCAAAATTGTGGGGGATGCTTTGCATTTTATTTACTTATCTATTTATTATTTGGCACAATTTTTTCTGAGTTAACCTTAAGGTATTTTATCCCAAGTCTAAGCAACAACATAAATACCTAAACAGTATCTGTGTGATTTGCTCCCTAGCCTGTAGGTTGAGAATTTCATTTTTAATATAATTTTTAATATAAAGTAATGTCAAAATATATTAGCTTAGGCTGAATAGTTTAAAAACTCCATAATATTCCATCATTAAGCATAAGCACAGAGAGGAAAAGACTGCTGTAATCTTTTAAGTAGCCATCAATCTTGCTACAGTTACAAAGAATTTTTTCCTTTCAAAATGTAAAATTTTTTCTTTTGTTACCATACATTCATTGAGAAGCATTGTAATACTGTATTAACTCTGTGTGAATAAAGAGCAATTGAGACTCCCTTTGAATGAGTGAGTAAAAAGCACAAATTACTTTTTAATGAAACCCTCAATTCTTTTCCTTTCCACAAAAAGCCTATAGCCTTGTTCAGCTGAATACTACTACAGTAGGTCACTTCAGTTAAGCCTCTAATAAACTGTTGATAGTTGAGGGTAGTTTTTTCTTCTGTCTCAATAGGCCAGTGTTGGACAGTGCACTTCAAATCATTAAGGTTAATACAGATTAAAAAAAGAGATTAACTGTGGTGGTTAAGGCCTCAGTTTACAACTCCCACACATACACATGCATTGAACAAGAGACAAGGGGTGGATTGAAATTTCAGTTAAATTGTGGGCAGGCTTTTACAGCCTGAGAAAGTGGGCGCAACAGTTTTGAAAATTGGTCACTGTTAAAGTCTCCTATAACTGGGTTTGAGAAGTATTAAGAAATACTACTCAATCCAGCCACTTACAAGAACACCCATTAAGGGCATAATCTTTTGAGGGATTGAGTATTTTCCTAGCAGCCAAACTTGACTTCAGTAAGAATAGAAAGTACTGACCACCTTGTAGGGTCAGCTGGCAAAAGAACTGGCATACTGTAATGCCCCTGCAACCAGGAGAAGCACATAAGAATGCGTCTCAAACAAGGTCATGCAATTCTTTCTGTAGGTCAAAAATATTAGGCTTCTACCAGTATGAACTTTTATTCTGTTAGGAGGTGTGATGGGGCAAAGAACCATGCTTGAAAGGTTTTCATGGAAACACTGTATTTTTGGAATTCAGGTATGAAAAAGTGCAGCAGGACAAGAGAGGCTGCTCATTTTTTTATTTTCTTCCTGAGATGCTTCAGTTTACATCCTTATTAAGCATTAACTGTTCAATACTAGATTGTTTTATTTTTTTCCCCACAAGTCCTCAGCAAAACAGGAAAAGTTATCTTTTCCCTTCCTTCTGCATTCCCCCTGGCTTGCTTGGGGTTCCTTATGGAGGGATTGTAGCCTTCAGAGAGACTAGGTGCTTGTGAAGCATTGGTACACACTGGTACAAATAAAGCTCTGACCAGTGAGAAATATACATACTTGCAAATTGTTTAAAGGTAGTGTATAATATATTCATCATCAGAGTTAACCTCTCAAATTAACATGTTTTCTTTGCATTTGAACCAGACAAATTTTAGAAAGAAACACAGACCCTTTTAAAAACGAAATGTAGCATCAGTTATAGCAATAGTCGGATAAATTGTTTTTTGCTTCCTGCAACAGTTATGTATACAGAAGGCTTATAAAGCTCTAGTTCTTTGGTGAAATCAGCTAGTTTAATGGATGGTGTTTGCTAATCCTTTATTAAGGCAGACATGTTCATACTTGTCTTTAGAAAATCTGCCTTATTGATAGCAGATTATTTAAGGAAGAAAACGGTGAAAAAAAGATATGCCACAGTTTTTATCAACTTCATTGAGAGTCTTATTATCTTAAGAAGTAACAGTTAGCAACTCAAATTCATTAGTAGGGCTAAATCTAAGCTCTATTTGACAGCCTGCCTAAAAAACAGTTTGTTTTGCTGTCTGTGGGCTTTAATTAAGATGTGCTCAATTCTAGTCCCCTTGCTCTCCACCCCCCACGCCCCCACCCCACTTGCTGTGTCACAGACCGGCGATCAGACGCTTTCAGATGGTCCAGCCCATGACTTTGACCTTCTGCGCAGTCCAGCGTTCCCTGGGGAACCGTTCAGCTCATGAGGTCTGATTTCACACTTCCAGGATGCCTCGGCTCTCTTAACAATGACAGGGAGACAAAGCCCTTTAGAGCAGGCCGCATGGGGACTTGTTTAAATTGGAAACTAGAGAGGAGTCAAGGAACAAGGTTACGGGCTACAGAATAGTGCTTTTAATAAAGAGCTCACAGCTCTGGTTCAGCTCAAAGAGGGCTACCTCTGTACAATTAATTGAGACATTTATCTGGAGCATCTTAGGCCTCTACTTTCTCACAGAATTATGTGATAAATATCAGCGAAGAGGCAAATGAGATATGCATGAAATGAATTTTTAACACTTTGATGACTGTGTCTCCAGTCTTCATTAGAAGTAAATTTACTTGTATTTATGGCCTCATTATCAGTTGATTGTTTGTACTTTTTAGGGTTCTGAGTTTTCTGCACAGGACTTTATATAAAGGCATATTTGATTAAAGGCTTCATGACATTTGGATTTAGTATCCTACATATGTTAGATTTCATGCTGTCACCTCTTGGGGAACAGAAAGTAAATGCAGCTCAAGAGAGGAAATTTTTTTTTCTTTGAAAGTTTATATGAGAGACTCAGTCCCTGTTCCTGGTAAATTCTTGTTAAAGTATTGATAAGTTTAATTGGAAGTAGGGTAAGATGGGTAATATTTTCAGATGCTGATGAAGATGGTTTACATCTGTTAACTTCTAGGACCTGAGTTTTAAAAAAAAACCTTTGGCTTTGTTCCCAAGATGCTAGCAATATTTTTCTTGCATATACACAACCATACATTTCCATATAGAAACAGAAGGCTCTTAATACAAAAATTCATAGTGTTTATTTGAGTCTCCTTTAGAAGTATGGTTCCAGATGTAATTTGTACCATCCAGGAGCAGGATATCTAGTCCTGATATAAATATGAGTTAATTTCATGAAATGAAAAAGAATACAAAATAGTATTTGGGGGAGAAGCGATAAAACTTCAGCGGGCCATATTTTTATTCACTGAGAGGTTTAGTCCAGATTATGAACTAAATGTCCACAAAATTTCATTTTTAAAAAGAA